AGTATGAATCAGGCTTTAATCAAACATATGTAAGCTCTAAACAGGCTAACTGCATGTTTGACAGCAAGGTGAATTTAGTGAAGAAACTCCAGGCTTACTCTCTCTGTTATGATCCTCAGTAGCCATCTCTTTGTCAGGTAATGTTTCCTCACCGCCTGAAAAACATCATCCACACTGGTAATCAGCTGACGTGCAGGAAAAGACTGTATGGCACACTTTAAAAAAGGATATCAATGTATATCATTATGTTTTATTCCGATAATGAAATCATAGCCGATAAATTAGAAGAGAATATGTATTTTGAATTACTATCAAATCATTTGATGTTGTTTTATGTTCTATGGAAGTTTGTTGTGTAGATAACTAGAGGTAGTCGTATTAAACTATACATTTACATTTGAATAGTTTGTTTTTGTTGTGTTAACAACAGTGATGTCTTTAAATATTAAATTATTAATCTTTGCTCACTGTGTCTTAACCTTTTTTACCATCAAGTGTGCAGAAACTACAGGTTATGAACTTCTTCTTAAATACAAAAATGTGAAATGATCAGTTCATCATCTTATCGGCATTCACCACGAGAAGCAGGTAATTATGGGTTTTAAACTCAAACTCAAACTCAATACATTCAGAAGAACTGATGTTGATGTTGAACAACAACATTTTTAAAACTACAATTAAAGTAATGACACATGCGAACAACTGTTGCTTGTGTTAGTAAGTTTCCGTCAGTCTGACTGACTGTTTGGCTATCCGCAGGCTGATATTTACCCTCCACAGCTCGGCACTGACGGGCTGGTTCGGAGGATCGTCTCTGTAGATGTCTTCAATGGCCGCCTTCCAGAACTGCATTCGCATCAAACCAATGGTCTTCTGGGAAACGGAGTCCTTCACCTGGTGGAGAAACAAACATAAGACGGACAACTGTTTGATAAGTTACTTTAAAAAGGACTTAAATCATAAATTAAACACTGTATATTTTTAAATCCACAGATTTTCCTTATTATTATTATTAATATTATTATTATTATTATTAATATAGCAACCAGAGCATCAGTAGTAGTACAGTAGTTACAGCAGTAGTATCAGTAATCATTTCCCATCCAGCCTGGCTGTAGGAATACCTGCCTGTGCCAGCTCCACATTAAAGGCTCTCAGAGCCAAAGAGGAGCGCCGCACCTCCTCTGGGAGGAGGAGGGAGGACACGAAGCCGTCATAGTCTCTGGACCTGAGGAGGAGGAGGAGGAGGAGGAGGTGGTGAGAGGAGGAGAGAGAGAGAGAGAGAAGACATGTAGGAGACAGATGCAGTTGGTGTCATTCTTCCAAAGTTATATATTTCCATGTTATTCTTTATTTTGAAGATTATTTTTTCTTAATAAAAGTGTCTTTACTACATTGCTGCTTTTGTACAATGTCCCTGACGTCATTTTTCATATTAATTTAAACCGAGCAGAACTGAAGTTACACGCTACAAACACGCTGCCTTTAACTAAAGCTCTTAAAATAAAATAGTGATTTTGTTCAGTTTTTAAATATGTCACATTTCTCAGGTAGATCTGATTCAGAGATTTTAACAAAGACACATTTCAGGAGCTGGAATACAGTTTCCATCAGGATGAGTCGATATATGAATGTTTGTGTCAGTTCTGGGTGCTAGATTCATTTAAAAAAAGCTGAAACCATATTTAAACGCATACTTCTCGATCAACCTGAATACGCCGAAATAAACATCGCACAATACATATTCACAGAACCAAATTAACTTTACAAAATATATTTTTAAATGTTATGAATCACAGCGTTTTGTACATTTATACCAGATATTTGAATGGAGTCTGGCGTGGAAGGTTTGTCTCACAACAGACCTTTTATATGATTTAAACCAGGGATATGTAGAAGTATCTAACCTTACAATAAGAAGTTATATTTGTTAAGTGTAGAACATCTTTGTATAAGGTTAACTTTAGTCATCCTGTGTTGTCAGCAGTGAGTAGAGTCAGACCCACCGGACCAGCTCCAGACAGTATTTCTCGTTGAGTTGTGAGTCTGCCGTCGCGCTGGTTGCTGCTCTCACACTCTGTATCCTGCTGGGTGATATCTTTCTGTGAAGAGCTCCATACAACGACGTTTTACTGCTTAATAATCCATGTTTAGCACTGATGCTAGATGCCATGTTCCCCTTCAACTTTCACCCTGCACCTTGTGTCACGTTGAAAACATTCCCCCCCCCCTCCGCCTGGCGATGTCTTTACATTCCGCTTCACTTGCTGCTAAAAACGATGAGTTTTAAATCTCCACTTGACATGAACGTGGCTGAAAAATATCATTTAAAGTAGTAAAAGTGGTAAATGTTTTAGATAATGAGTAAAAATCACAAAAAACAGCAGCGCGTTAGCTACCGGAAATTGGATGTTGCTGCCACCAAAATAAGAGTAGGAAAATAATTTACTGGCATCCTGGAAACTCACACGGATCTGTATTACATTAAAAAAAAAATATTCTCTTTCTTTTGGGTGTCTTGTAATACAGACAAAGCTCAAACACAAGATAGACTAATTTCTCTGTCTACGGTAGCGTAATATCTGACTTCTGTCTTTTTATTTTGAAGAACCACCGGAAACAGCTACAGTGGTTTTCTGTTGTTATTAACAGAGTCACTGAACTTTATCTCTCTCATTTCTATTTTTTGAGACTGTATTATTTATTTATTATTCATTTATTGTGTTTTTATTTGGACAATACACAGGTTGCAATTTCTTTCTTTTATTTTACTTTAATATTTGAAGGCAGTGACACAGCCCCAGACAAACAAACAAACAAACAAACAAACAAAACACATTACAATTATAGATGGCCTGTCATGTTTTATTAGGCTTCTTTTCTACTTTTTAAATTTGTTATTTATGTTACGACCCGGCTCGGAAGGGGAAAGGGAAGCAACATAAACCGCAACATAAACCAGTGGTTTTGTAAATTAAATTATTTATTAACACAGAGATTTTAATCAAAAGAAATGATTCAACAAACAGAAACGGCAAGTGGGTGCTGCGTAAACAATTGAAAACAGTATAACAAAAGGAGATCTTAAAAATGAGATTATGGATAACAACTAAAACAAGCATGAAAACAAAAAACCCTCTCTGGTTACTTTCAAAACAAACACAAAGAGCGCAGCACCCTAACTAAACTTAACATAAAAAAATCTACAGGTGTCAAACAGAGTCAGTTTTAAAACCTAAACCCTGGCCCAGTTTCCTGAGGAGCTCACACAGACAGATTCACAGTTTAAACACCTACTTTAGAGACTTCGACGCGATCCAATGGCAACAGTAGGAAAATAGCGGGTTCTTGGCAGTGACAGACAGTTCTTCTAGCCTACAAAACTAGTGACAGTTACACACAAACAAACAATTTATTACTATAATTTGTTGATAAATTACTTCAATCTTCACAGACTTAGAGATGGATTTGTTGGCTTCTTTGAAGGGAGCCGATCTTTGAAGAGCCGTTCCAGTTTATCTTGGGAAATAATCACTAGGAGAAATAAAACAGGGTAAGATTTTTATCAAATCATTCAAATTGACATATTTGAGTTTGAATATTTTTGAAATATTGATTTATTAATTTTCATTTGACATTTGATTTTAATTTTCTGATCTGCAGTCACTTAACATCACAAGGTGCGCTTTATCCCTCTGCTTTGACAGTGAATTACTATTTTGGATCTTTGTATAAAATTAAGTTTTAGTTTTATAATAAAGCTCTTTTTTTTTACTTGTTAATCATGGCAACACTTTTCATTTGTGGCACAATAACAAACTAAGCAGGCTACAATGAGTCTTCATGAAAAAAACAGCTTTTAGTTGCAAATTTTCCACACAGAATATTTTTTCTTATATTAAAATGATAAAAAAGCCCATAAGTACTAATAGTATTAAGCTGCCGAGACTCCTGAACTGTTCCTCAGTAAACATCAGTGAATTATTTATAAATTAACATTTTTTAAATAAAAGACAGTTTCTCATACTGAGCTACCTATTTTCATTTTGTTATGTTTATGAGTTTTGTTTTCTAATAATTTTGTTCGTTTAGCTAACTTCAAATCTATTTACAAACTTTTTAGACCACGTTTTTGTATAATAAAATTGACATATTAGATGGCAATATTTTATTTAATTTTCACAGGGAAAAAGTTAGTCTCACTACCGCCTCTCACAGATGATTTTACTGAGGGGACAGTTTTTTCTAGTTATTATTACATCTTTTTTTACATTTCTGCATACATTATAAGATGGACATATGCTTCACTCCACCCACTCTATAAAAATCTATATATCAGGAAAGTTCGCACGCGTTGGTGGGTTGTGCACTCGTATTTGGAGGAGGTCTGGGGACTAGAGTGCCGAGTGGTGTGTGTGTTGTTGGGGGAATGGTCTGCGGTTGGGGAGAAGGTGTAGGGGTCTCGTCATATTTATGACGTGAAAGCCCCCTTATTTATTAGCTGGTAATTGAAAACCAACTTATCACGAAAAACACCTTTGAACATACATCAAGCGTGATAAGAACTACCTTAAAATGTCAGAATGCAGTTTTTGGAAAAATGTATTTGCTGTGTACTTTGTTTGTCGTGTCTCAGCGTGAGTGTAGATATGGGGTTCTGCAAGGTTTTGATTGTTTGAACATTAAGAGCTTTATGTCGCTAATGCCATTAGATGACTATACTAAGATTGTTATTGGAGTGGTGTGACGGGGAGTTTGTAGATATTATCATCCCAAGGGAATTCACGAGTGGTTCTAGCAGTATCAACAAACTGATAATAATAATAATAATAATAATAATATTAATTAATATAATAACAAGAGGAGGTCAATTTAGAAGAACTGAATAAATAAAGTAGAATAAATAGCTAAATAACGAGCATGGGGCTAGTGCCTAATGTGGCATGGTCAAAATCCCAGTGCTTGAAAGGCCTAAGGTGCATAATAGTGTCAGTCAGGGTCAGTGGCTCACATAATGGCAGGGTTGCACTGCCGTCCAGGTGTATAGTTAACTAAAGGGCCAGGACATATTGGAGTTAGATTTTCTCCCCTGGGTAGTGAAGAGCCTCATGGCGTGGGGGGAGGAACGATTTCTCAGTCTTTCAGTGGAACAGGACATGGACAGCAGCCTGTCGCTGAAGTTGGCTCCTCTGCCTGTAGATGGTGCTGTGCAGTGGATTGCAGTGGATTGTCATGACTTGACAGGAGCCTGATTCAGCGCCGTCGCCTCTGCACAGATGTCAGTCTGTCCAGCTCTGTGCCCCACCACAGAGCCCGTCCTCACAGTTGTCCAGACAGGAGGCAATCCTTTTTCTAATGCTGCCTCCCCAGCACACACTGCCATAGAAGAGGCGCTCGCCACAAACAGTTCTAATAGAATATCTGCAGGCAGTTTTTTTTGCAAGTTGAAGGATGCCAGCCTTCTAAGGAAGCTATAATCGGCTCGACCTCCTTCTGCACGGCGTTACCTGTGTTGGGCAGTCCAGTCCAGCCCTAATCATCCAGTGTACTCCCAGGTATGTAAGTCTGTACCAACTCCACACGGTCCACGTTGATGGTTACAGGTTCCTGTGAGCCCTGGCCTTCTGAGGTCCACACCAATCTTCCTTGTCTTGGTGCGGCAGGTGGTTGGAGTCACACCATGTGACAAAGTCCTGAATCGAGTTTGCCTGTACCCTCCTCCTGGTCACCCCTATACCAGCCCACAATAGGCCGGTGTCGTCTGCGAACTTGCATTTTTGACAGGACTCTGAGTTATATTTGAAGTCTTGACGTGTACAGGACGAAGAGAAGCACAGTCCCTTCTGGCTTGGCTTCTCGTCCTCACTGACCAAAGTACAACAACTACAACACAATTGCATGTCTCATCTCATATTACTGGGTTTCGTGTTCTGTCTAGTAGTCCATTATCCATGTCACCAGATGAGTTTACTTGTACTACCCTCTTATTCGCTATGTTGTATTTCGAGCATAGTCTATAGGTTCCTGGTCTTTTGATTGATGGTATTTGAAGGCGCTGATAAATTCCAGAAAGTGTCATATTCTCACAGCCACCTAGTTTCCCTCTCTTACATGTGTGAGATAAGTATCTGTTGTCATCTAGGGTTAGTAGCGACAATGGTATTGCCTTCTGACTCCCGACCTTTCTCCTGGTACAGATACTGCAGTGGGTCAAAGGGCGTGGGCGTAACTGGTGCCTTTTATTCGTGGGTCTAGGGGTTGTAGCAGCACTGCCGTGTCTGTGTTGGTCTCATCAGCGAATGTTGATGTTCATGGGACACGATAACTCGGAGTCTGATTAAGTCATTTTAGCTCACCAGGATGTGGTCTCTTTTGGGTTGGGATGATGCAGGATGTCTTTCCCCCCCCAACTGTCTATGGGACCCTCCCTGTTCCAAAGCTCAGGTTGGAAGATGTTGCTGGTAGGGATCCAGCTCCAACGCACAGCCTTCAGAAGTCGAGGGATATTCCATCTGACCTGCTCTTGCTGGGACGAAGCTCTTAGCTCTCCACACACCTGGTGAATAGGGTGGGTGGGACAACCTCCCCTTGTGGCTACGATCGAGGGAGACAGCAGCAGAAGGGTGTAGGTGACCTGAGGTGTAACGGATGGGGTGGTTCGAACCTGCTGAAGTAATTAGGTTCTACAGGTTTTGCTCTTACTGATTTAGTCTCGCCCTCCATGTTGGGCCTATACATGTACTAAGAACAAATTTCTTGATT